AACACAAACATTACCAAAGAAGAGTATACGTGCACCCCTCCTTTTGTGGGGAAACTGTTGTTTCAAATTTTTTTATCGTTTTCGTCTAGGGAAAAAAAAACATCACTTTAAAAATTTATGCATTTAACTAAAAAACAATTAACACTTGAACAACAGCGATGAAAAAAAAATCGGGACATAATTTACTCATATCTCTTTTGCAAATCACATAATTTTTGCAGTTAACGGGGATAAATTTAACTTTATGACGCGCAGGGGGTTTTCTTTTGATTAAATACTCCTGTGATCAGCGTTTTTAAGTATATTGGCCCTTTATTGACAAAATTTTTTTGAATTAAAATCAACAGCACTTTTATCCAAAACATTAACAAATCGAAACTATATACATAAAAAAATACTTTAAAGTAAAGGGAAAAATCATCAGTTAGGAACAAAACCAAAACCACACGATACATAACGTTAAGAAAGTTTTTTTTATAGTAATTTTTAATTTGAAAAAATTTTTGGCATATCCCCCCCCTTTTCGTTCCCCTCTCCGTTTAAATCAGAAAAAAACACGAAACAATTCCTAAAGAACAAAAAAACCAAAACGACAAAATTGAAAATAGTCGCAGGCTCGGTTTGAGTGTGTTTATTGATGGTATGCCAATAAAATGTGTCAGTTAAAATCTTAAGGTCACTGCACCGGCTTAAAGCAGTTCTCAACATTTATCATGAAATGGTAAAAATTTGAGTGTCACTCAGGTTAAATATTGCCAAACAATACTGCTAAGTAAATCAACGCATTAACTGGCGTAGTGTCAGAAAATCATGAAATTGGTGATGCTTTTCTTTTTCACGGTATGATTAAATGTATGAATAAGTTCACACTCCTAATAATTTAAAATATTGAAATTGTATTATTTTTCACATGCACTTCTTTTAAAAATATGTTTATTACTCAGGATTTGTATTGATAGCTATAGGCGATTTGATCTTATTAAGTCCTAGCTCACATGATGAGTTTTCAAATATGTCAGCTCTCACAAGTTTAAAATCATTATTTTTTTTCCCCCCCTTTTTGCTTTTTTATCTTCTTTAAAAAAACTTGTTTTAAATTTTTACACTCTTTCTGAGGGGAATACTTTTGATATTATTGAGAAAATCAAAACTTAAATTTTATATCTTTGCTTTTAAATTTTAAAAATTTAAAAGGGTTTTTAGCGCTACTTTTTTAACACGCTTCCCAAAGCTTAAACGTAAATATTTTTCAAATTTTTCTTATCACAGTTAAAAGTATATTACACAATGTAATGACTTAAAATTTCTTTTTTTTCCAAATTTTTAAAGTCCCCCAACAGGGAATTTTTCCAGCCCGGGTTAAATTTGTTAGAAAGCCCCATTTTTTTAAAACTTTTAAACGATTATTAATATTACTTTAATGTTATCCTATTTATAAATGGGCCACCAAAATTTTTTCTTAACCTGCATAATGCATTTTACTCATTTAAATCGACTTATAATCCTTTATGATAAATAGGCCACTGCCTTTACCATGCAAATTGCACATTACACATTTAAATCGACTTGTTCGAATATTGTCAGTATCAGTTTATCATAATCTAATCATTATAAATCATATTTAACATCCTTCAAAAACTCAAATTTCATCATTTATTCAAATTAGAAATTTGTCATTTGGACACCTAACACCACATGTCTCCAGATGAGTCAAAACTGTAAAAAAAATCCAATTTTCAAAATGTAAAAAAGAAATTAAGAAAAAACAAAAACTTTCACTAGTCAAGAAGTGATTAACATATTATATGCAATGAATGACTAAAATATTTATCACCATATTTTTTCTTTGGGACTAAGGAATAATGCCAAATTTTCGCATGCATATTGGCTCTTTTTTTACGTGGGTTGAATGCTATGAAATTACTTTTTTTTTACTGACAATACATAAATTTTAAAACACTTTAAAAAATTAACATGACAAAAAAATCTGGGGTACTGCTTAAGCCCAAAATTTCTTGTTCACAGTACCTTATAAAAAAAAATTTTAAATTTTATATTAAATCTGTTATAAAACATGTAAAAATATTTCTTTTTTTTAGTTTCACAAACCTACGGGTACAGAAACGGTTTAAAAAAAAAAAGTACAGACACGCCCCAATTTTGAAAAAGGTTTTCAGATGCGAAAAAAAAGAAAAACTTTTAATTTCATGACAAGGGGATGATCAAGCTCGTTAAACATTACATTAATTTTATTTTTTAATTTTAAAAAAAACCCTTTATTCTAAAACGTATTCATTTTTCCATATAATATATAGTTTCTAAGTTATCAGAGAAATCTCTTTAAAATACTAAAGGGAGCGTTACTCGATTTTTAATATCACTGCCTAACGTCTTAACACATTTTCAGTCAAATTTTTTTTTTTTTTTTTTTTTTAAATGCGTTTATTTAAGGTCGCCGCCGGAAAGCCCATATGGGCGACCGTAAACTCAAGTCGGGTCATCCTAGAAGCTCCCGCTGAGATTTTTTCGTCGATTTTTTTCCAGCTTTATTGGTGGAGGAAGACCCCGGGTGCCCCTCCGGGCAGTTTTATTTCAGGCACGAGCGGGCACCTGGGTAGAACCACCGACCTTCCGTAAGCCAGCTGGATGGCTTCCTCACATGAAAGATTTCGACCCGAGTGAGGATCGAACCTACAGTGGTGAGACCTGTGATCTCAAGTCAGCGACTTTAACCACTCGGGCCCCCCAGGCCCCAATTTTAGTTTAAAACTGTTTTTTTATTTAAATCCTGTTAAATATACAAAAAAATAAAGAAGAAATTTTTTGGGCATTTTATCCCTCCTTACCCCCCCCAAAAAATTTTTTTCTTTTTTATGCGACTGCATTTCCTTTTGGAAAAATAAATTTTTTTTAATCGGGGCCATAAAAGCGGGGTACAACTCAAACTGATTAAAATCGGGCCATCGGTTTTGGATTTGAATGGTTTTTAAAATTTTCATCCCCTGCATCGGGGCTTTTTTAATTCCACTATCAACCAAGTTTAATCCCGCTTTTAAGTAGGAAATTTATGCAAAAACTGCGTTTTTTTTAATGACACAAAATACAATAACTACTTGTAGATTTTTTATAGAAATCAGCAAATATGCACAGTGATTAAAAAATTGAAAAAAACGAAAAAAGTGCTTTTTTTCCACTTAAAAACTCCAAAAAAAATTAATAATCATTAAAACCACTTCTTTTACACTCCCTCGTTAAATTAAAAAAGTAAAAAGAATAATGTATTATTTTTTTGGTGCGTTATAAAATTAAAAGTTGGGTAATTTAAATCACCACCCCCCCCCTAAAAAAAGTAAAGAAAAAAAAAAAATTTTACATCCAAAGTTAAAAGGGGTTATCAGCGATAACATAAAATAAAATGTTTTAACAATTGAAAACATAAAATCATAGAATCGCTCGTTTCAGTTATTTCTTTTTTTTTTTTCGAAATAGAATAAAAATAACCCTTTGTTAAAAAAACACCCTTACTTTAGCAGAAAATAACGTGTTTTAAAAAAAAGGGGGGAAAATATGTACAAGATATTTTAAATTTAAAATATTTTTGCCCGTTAATTTTACATTTCAAAAACTTACGACTAGAAAAACCCATATGTGTAAGATATAGATAAGTTCAAGTTCTTGGTATTATGGACTCATTTGAGCAGTATCTTAGTAAAATAGGAATTGAGTACATATAGCTCTTTTTATACACAATGTAAATCAGCATTCCGTCTGGTTAGCAACATAGTGTCCGCTCTGTTTCTTTTGAACCGAAGAAAAAAAAAACTGAAAACTACTTGCAGAAATGTGTTTAACATAATGAGGACGATGTGCCAAGTTTGGTTTGGCTTCCCTACAATTGGCCACACCATAGTAATAACTTAATTGTTTGACATGAAATGGAAAAAAACACACTTAAGTCAACTTGTGTTAAACTTTAATAACAAACAGCTTAGAAAATTTGACATGTTGCATTATCTTCAGACAAAGCTTTGTTGACCTCTAAAAAAGTTACATAAATTACGACCATGGGCTAAAAGTAACGCCCGCCCTATGTTTTGAAAAGCACATCTAATATCTTATGGAAAACAACATTGCCCAGGGCTTATATATTTATCATGTAGCATTGTCTTGAAGACTGCGATATCGTTCAGAAGAACTCTGAAATAAGGACCTGGCGAAACTATTGAATGTTCTTCGGTGGTTGTTGGCGTTCTTTCACGACAGCTTTGAGCTTCGTTTAGATGTACTTTATCATGTACGCCAGATCTGTCGGTCGAGAACATTTATATTATGGTTTCCATATTGTTGTGCCAGTCAGGTGTTACGGTACGATACTATAAAGTTTAATTGACACATATGCATGTATAAATAATAGTTAGTGGTAGTGAATTATTTTGTTATATCATAAAATATTTTTTAAAATGTGTTGCCTCAACCTTTGCGTTTGCGGGCCGCTGTATTATTTTTATTGCTAAAACAATTTTTCATTAAGGCGTATATTGGGCCCGTATAAAAGTATACAAACGTAAAAAGCCTGTTATTAAAGTAGAATCTCTCTATACGTACCTATATATAGATATATAGGAACTGATTAAATGATCAGGTAGGACTGAAAAGAGACTTTTCCCCTTTTTACTTGAGATATTATATGTAGCTGAAGTACCATTTAATAAATGGATTAAGTCTTTTGGGGCGATCATCTCAAATTTAAGAATTTATGATTACGTTGCCAATAAGGACGGCGATAAACAGGGTAATTTCTAGTGAATTGATTAAGTAGTTTCTGCATTTGTTACAGCAAGTTTGGCCTACAAAAAAACCCATATATATATTCGTATCGATTGGCGGCGAGCTATGTATTTTCAATGGTTTAAAAATTATACAGTATGTTACAACAGAAATAGATTATGTTAGAAGTACGTGTTGGTTAGCAGACGAAATTCGAAAAACGGTTAGATTGCGTGTTAAATTGACATTCTGCATGATAATGCACACTGTGTGTTGATAATAAAAATGTTTTATCGTTGATAAGATCGTGTGAATGAATAGGTAACAAATATACACACACAGCTAATACACAGCTATAATATAGTTTTATATATACATTGCTTAGTACATGTAGTTATATAATGGATTTACATAGAATACAGTTAACTTTAGGATCTGGATATATTACATCTATTGGACTCGGAACTTTTACTTTCTTCGGTGAACATGTATGTACTATATTAGTAAACAAGTAAAATATTACATACATTCGTATGTAATATAGGTACGATCTGTGAAGACTTTTTATGTTTGCTGCATGAAAGGTGTAATGTAAAATGAACAAACATGTAATGAGATATTTTAAACATTTTCATGGAATGTAATTAATGTATCATCATATTAAAGTTGCATGCCTTCAGATGAGAAAAATTATTTCAAGGAAATCAAAATATAAAAAGAAAATTCACGGTCAATTGACTGCTTTGAAGCATAATCACAAAATAAAATTACAGGAAATTAAAAACCTTTTTAATATACTAAAGGTAGAATTTTATTGTAAATCATAGTCGCAGATAGGCATTTATGATTATTTATTCATATTAACATCATTATCGGTTATATATTGATAAAATCCCGAAAGACACAGTTTGTAAATATTTATTACAATAAAATATGAAAAAGGTATTTTCCATCCTATGCGACGCGCTGAGGTTAGCTATATTTATGATTCCCGCGCTAAGTAGCGGTGGTGCTTGGGATTATCACTTGATACTGTAAATGGCAGCCATTTAACGATACGAAAATATCTGGCACTCCTCGGACAGTTTATCCTGCCGAAATGATATGAAAAAAAATTCAAAAAATACTTGCAATTCAAAGTTTGTTTGCTACATAAAGATTATCGATTTACTTCTATGCCTGACTGTAATAATATTGATGTTTTTTCATTGGCTTAAACCATCACGTTGAAATTATTCCGTTAATAGACCTATAACAATTTTATTTAGAAATAAATTGATAAAACAACAATCCCAGAAGCATTTAAGATAGTAACAATCATTGGAAAATAATAAATGCATATAAATTGTAAATTTGTGTGTGACAACTCACCCCCAAAACAAAACATAATAGACTCAACCAAAACAAGCGTCTGCTTCTTTACCTATTTATGTAGTCGCATGACCATGATTAGCAAACCAAATTTAAGAGCTAAACCCATTGTATATAAACAAGTACAAATGTTGCTGCAATGCAGCAATTGAGAAGCTCCGCGCAAAAAAAAAAAAATGCGCTAATTACAGATACCTTACCAAATTATTCCTACGCACAGGTCATGTTATATTCAGATTAAGTACTATTGTAGATTTTTTCCGAATGTTTTGTAAACCATTTTTTGCATAATTATACTTATCTTATGCACTGTCCATAATTAAAAAAAGGGGAAAGATATTTAATATAAAAAATGCTTTCACTGATGCCTACCTGGTAAGGAAAGTAATTCCATTGAATACAAACAAGACTTACAAGACTTGTAAATGTTATGTGACATGACTGTACTATGTTCTGTTTGTGTAACTACTGTAGTCAGTAACATAAGATGATAAAAATATCAAAGTCTGTTTTTTATTATTATTATTGTAACAAATATACAAATAGTAACAAAAGGGACTAATATTATAATATAGTAATATTACATGCATTTTTTCATGTCAAATTAAGAAAAAAATGGTTTCTTTCAATACTGAAAGTAGAACACACTCTGGAATGAAAAAAAAATGGGATGAATTTCAAAAAGACCAAATTCGGGAATTTTTTGTTTGTTATACACGCGTTACATGGTGATACAGTATTTATTAATATAATAGAAGACTGTTACCTGAATTTTAGGCAGGTATAAGGAAATTCACTAACATCATGTTCGTGCAAGTCAAAGATATAAAAGCTATTTGACATTGGTGATATATATAAAAACATCTTTTGTTAATTGATTTATTTGGAGATCAATATACTATTTTGTTGAATTGCTTTAAAACCATTCATAAAAAACATTACACTTCATGTTCAAAATGCAGATCTACCAATGATGCTATCGCCTATACTTAACGAGGGTCAATCCGCTCGTAAAGCCACAAAATGCAGGTTTCGCTGTCGAGTACGGACCCCGGACATGTCACCAGCAGAGCTGCATCAGTACTAAGGGTGTAGTACTTAAGTACCAGTACTTGGCAAATTATGCAGTACCATTACCAGTACCAGTACGAGATTTTAGCTCAGTACTGCAGTACCAGTACATTTTTTGGTCAAGTAATTAAGTATCAGTACCATTACTTTTATTATATTCATCAAAGTTTGAATAAATACAGTGTCAAACAAATAATTGCAAATATTATTCAGCAAAGAAATAAAATCATAATTTACTATAACATTTTTACAACTTTATAGTTTTAACATACTTTTAACAAACAATATTGACAACATATATCCATGTCATATCTTATGGTTTTGTAACCAGTCAACTGTAATACAATGCAATCATCTTTCATTTAAAACACAACAGTCTTTTGTTGCCTTTCACACCTTCACACCTCTGTTCAATTTATAGTTTTATACCAAAGTAAATAACAACTTTTTATGGTGCTAACAATATCACTTGAAATAGGATTATTTAGAATAGAAGCAATTACTTAGTGATCATTTTGCTCTTTTACTAGTAAATACAAAGTAATAAAAGATTTTAATAAGGATATTTTAAGGTAAAGAGTAACTGAGTCTGTTTATCTCAATTTAATTTTCACTTAAAGTCTTTGGTACTTTTTTTATGATGAGTACTATGTTAATGTATGGCAGCAAATTATCTATAGATTTGATAACTTACTTTTCAGGCAGCAAATTATCTATAGATTTGATAACTTACTTTTTCAAAAAAATAAAATAATGTAATTTACAGCTTTATTTTATGAAAAAGAATTGATGCTATATTTATCAAAACCAAAAATACTGCCTAGTAATGCAGTAGCAGTACCACGTTTATGATAGTAATGCAGTACCAGTACCAGTAATGCAGCTCTGGTCACCAGTCATACCCTTCACGAGTTAATTTAGAAGCTGTATCAATGACGCCTATGAAATGTAACATTACTAAAGTTTAATTATTTGAAAAACAACCAATATATCAAAATGTTATTATTAAACATTTAATTTCATAAATATAAATTAAAAATAATTATCAAAAGTAAAATTATTAAAGTTTTATGCCTTTCTTTATATTGACAAATTCAAATCACTTATAGTATACTTGATATGCTGTGTGTAAATGTAATTCAAAATGTAACAAAATTATAATTTCATGTACTACTAAAAATGGGAAATAACAAATGTATAACCTAAGTGTCAAAAATCAGAACATTTTATAGCTATTTATAGCTTTCGAATTCATGTACAGCAGAACTGCTTTCCGGTTCTCATTCATTAATATGACATGTTGCGAATCACCGAAGGGGAAACCAATATAGAAATCGAAAGGAGTTCTTGAATGCGAATTTATTTTAAGCTGTAAATCGAAAGGACTAAATGATCAAATCCGGGCCCATGGACAAAAAAAATAGTAAACACAAATAGCTCAGTGCCTGTGGGCGCGGAGCAATAATACAATGACTACAGCAGATTTCGTACAGAAAATCGGCTTTCTCTTGCCGGTGGTAGGATACTGCGTTATCGCTCCCACTCGAAATGTTCTTTTTTTCGGACGAAATCCGTCTGTTTTCCGTTTGACTTCGGAAGCACTAAACATTAGAAGAATTTTCATTGGTCATTTTAAAATTACAATATGAAATCGGTGAATCTCATTGGTCATTCTAAAATAAAATGTAAATGATAGGTCTTACCATTCTAAAATGAAAATTTAAGGATAGCTCTATGATAAAATGTAGGGGATAGTTTTGCCACTATAAAATATAATGTAGAGGATAGTTCTAAAATATTATGTACAGGTATGATGATATTTTATAATGTTTAGGTTAATTTGTAAATGGTTACACAATTTCTAATGTCAAACGTAAAAGAAGCAAAAGGGACACCTTAAATATAAGTTGTTCTTCTGTGAAAAGTCATCGATATAAATATGCTATAATTTAATTTCATTGTTTATAAAATCGGTTTTTTCTTAATAGCTACAAGAAATAATTATCATGTCATTGTTATGCAAACATTGCTTACATTACTTTTTGTTTTGAAACTTTAGAACTCACATAATTTTGCAGATGTTTAACAGATTTACATCGCTTGAGTTTCGCTTTAAAACATAATTCTTGATTTTATTGTAAACATCCTGTCCACTCGAAGATAGAATATCGTTAGCATATCAAAACCAAAGATTGTAGCGCACCAAAGATTTGCATTAGTACTTGATATCATTTTTTTAAAAAAGCATTTGAAGTTGAACTGCCTAGTTTAGTCCTTTAGATTTTTTTAGAATAAAAAAGTATTCTAGTCAACAAAAAAAAACAAAAAACAGTCCGATTGGTAGCAAAATTTTGTTAATTATAAACGTGCAAAAATGGATATTTCATCAAAGATTTTCCTGAAAAATGTGAAGAATATGTTTTATGTTTGAAGTTATACTCGCCTGAGAGAAAATAGAAAAGTACATATTTCAACAATCCGACTTTTAACTTCCTAGACTCTAGTAATTAAAATACATGAGTATACTTTTAACACATGTGGTCTGGTGCCGTCTTACTGACCTGTGTGAAACCACTCAAGATCAATAAGGCAAAGGGACGTTCACACAATCCAATTATACCAGAAGGCACTGAGAAAAAATTGGGACCGGACAAAAAGGACAGTAAAAGGAGGGAAGGGATATATTATAAGTAAAATGATAATAAAAGAACCAAAAGGGGCCAATGTGGGAATTAAAGGGACTAGGGATGTAAAGGGAAATGAAGGGGCGCAGAGCACAAAACAGATTAAGAGAGGGGATGGGAAGAAAATACTTACCGTTATTTAACTTATGTAACCCACCCTCTCTGAGAAGCAAGTGAACGTGAGCTTTGCTGACCATTGTAGGAAAGATTTGCCCTGTAAAACAATTACTGGGTGTAATCTTTAACCACCATGTTAAATGATTTAAATTGTTTTGTTGTAGGATTTAGTAATTCTAGATCGTCCGGGTAAAAAGAAAGATGTAAAGGAATCGGTCTTATGTGTAGTCTAACATTTTGGACAA